ACACCATCCCTATACCTGGCCACGTTAGAGTCCCCCACCACCAGGACCCTTCTACGCTCCAATCGCTGGCTTCCTGTTAGTAATGGCGCCCCTGTTTGCTTCACCTGTTTCTCTCTCTGCCGTTTGTCCTGTGTTCCTGCCCTGCTCGAAGACTGCCGCGCCACCGAGCTGTATGTTCTCGGAGCCTCCGTGCTGTGGCTAGACTCTGCGGCCCCCTGACCTCCCTTCTCGCCTGTTCCTTCCCGCCTGTCGCCTTCTCTGCTACCCACACCTTTCATCTCACAGCCCTCGGGGCCGTGGCAAAGCGCCATTAGCTCCTTTACCTGCTGCTCGACGTTGGTTCGCCCTTCCCGTTCTTTTCAAAGGTCGCCCTTCATTTGCTCTTATAGGCTGGCAGGAACCTCCTCCCACTCACCTGACGCTCCGAGCTGTTTTTGGAATTCTATCCTCTGCTCCCGTTCCGCCTTAAACTCCCCCTGAAGCCCCTCGATGCTAGCCTTCATGCGCTGCACGGCTGCCTTCAGTGCCTCGCACAGCCTGCACACGAAGCTCGCCTTCTGCGCATCGGCCAAACTCGTGAATGCTGTCTCGTCCAAGTAGCACCAGCGCTTGCATTCTTCGCACTGCACCAACTCACTCTCGCCCATGGTTTTCCTAGCCTCCTTAGCCATTGCCCACCTGACCATCGGACCGAGCGCCCGACAGCCTTAAGTTCATTCTAATCTCGCTATCCAGCCACCTCCTCTAACTCTCCTACCTCAACAACTGTTTGAAGCTGCCGCCTACACCACATAAAACATGTTTGATTTCACTAGTAGCCTCTCACTAGGTTCACTTTGTGTTCGGCTCTAGCTGTTTAACAACTAATCGGGTGCACCGAACTTCTTCAAAACAGCCGCCTACCCTACTCACGTGGTCAACGTCACTGCAACGTTGCCCGTGTTCCACACCTACAGTAGTTGCCCCACCGCAGTGGTCTAGTGGCTAAGGTACTCGGCTGCTGAACCGCAGGTCGCGGGATCGAATCCGGGCTGCGGCAGCTGTATTTCTGATGGAGGCGGAAATGTTGTAGGCCCGTGTGCTCAGATTTGGGTGCACGTTAAAAAACCCCAGGTGGTCGAAATTTCCAAAGCCCTTTACTACGGCGTCTCTCATAATCATATGGTGGTTTTGGGATGTTAAACCCCACTTATCAATCAATCAATCAATCAATCACACCTACACCACTCGCAATGCAAGTTATTGATTAGGAGAAAAATAATAATGATGGGGTTCACAAACACAAACAAATAAAGGAAAACTTATCTCTCGTTGCGCGCTGCTCCTGCACGAACCTATCTGCCCAACCTTGCGCGACCTTCCTTCTATCTGAATACAGCAATATGTACAACGCCCCCTGGGGCCAGCCAACCAGTTCCAAAACCGGAACCGAAACCCAGATACAACAGTTATGAAAAGAAATAACCCAATATATCATTTTACTTCATTTATTCAAAACAGGCCAAATGCCTGAAATCTTTAACATGGATCCCACAGAAGTATACTACACTGTTCATGAACATTATATACATAATTTTAGTTCATTAGAAGCATTGCAAAAACATGGTACGTAAAGCAACGTAACAGAAATTTTAAGTGCATTGACAAACATGGCTTATTAGTACATAAACTAGCATGGCAATTAGGAGAAACTTGGAAAAGGGACCATAATATATTACAAGAAAAAGAAGCTTGTAATGAAGAGGTGGTGTTTGTCACTTCTGCATCATCAAGTGCGTAGACGCTTCGCTTGCATTTTTTTTTTCTCGACGCTTTTTGAGGCATTTGGTTCTCTTGCGAGAGAGATTGCCGCATTCTCATGAGAACGTAGTAATGCAGAATTCCTGCTAGAACTTCTTCCTTGTGAGCTTCACAAGACTGTGTGTCCCCAGCACATGGTCAATCATCTCCTCATGAACATTAGTCAACTTTGCATTACAAGAAAAGTATAGTTCTTGGTCGAGTGCAACAGTCTGTATAGATGTATGTTTGCATACATTATTCGGCCACATGTTTTGATGGAAGTGAGACTGGAAATATCTTTTTTAACAGGCTGCAAATTTGAATCAAGTGCATGGAACCCTGCACCTCTCACAGCCAGACTTCAGGAAAAATTTTCGGGCAGCGTATTCAGCGATGCAGTAGATTATGCAGTCGATTATGGCAGGGTTGTCCTCTGTCTGGGGTCAAATATCTTCACATTCTCATAGGTAATGCAGCATGTGTTGTGCGATTAGTTGTTTAGACATATTTTTAAACCTGTGTGTGCAAGAGATGAGACGCTTATCTAATAGAAAGTGCTTCTCCAAGTGCCAGGCACATAGTAGGTAATTGTCCTTGGATTTCAGCGGTGGCTTACTCACGGGTACGTTTTGACGGCACTGACCTAGTAGCCACAGAGCTGATGGAAGCTGCTGAGCAAGATCTTCTCCCATTTTTTGCCACAACCAGATTTGCATCCGGAAACAATAGGCTTCATTGTGCCCTGTCCAATTGCCCCGCCTCTTCATAAACAAGTACCAATATACCTTGTCTCTTAGAGCATAAATAAACACAATGCAGACATTTTAAACGAAGGCTGCAACATTAAAATGTCTGATCAACTCTGTCGTGCAGGCGTCCATGCTCGGAAAACGAGTGTACGTCTGTTCTGCCACTCTTTTCTAGCATAATTTTTTGTCTGCTTTCACAAAAAAGTCAGTGTTTCCCATATGTGTAAAAAAAGCGGTGCAATTTTTAAATTTTGTATGTCAATATTAGTATGCATATGTACGTTTCTTTTGGTTGTCATACTGAGGCAGCTGAGCAGACACTTTTCTAGCAGACGACATACTCCGCGCACTTTGCTCCCTGCCACCTCCGCGAGTTTGCGAATGTGCTGTGATTTTCATGTTTCTATGCGCCTCGCCAGGTAGCGCCCCGCATTGTGGTACGCGCCGAGAAAGGAGAAAGCATGTGCGAAAGCGGGAAGAGGAGCAGAGAGAGAGAGCAAAGGAATATGTTAGACCACCCCGTTCACATGCACAGTTTGACCCCGCGCGAAAGTGTGGGGTAGACCCCGGCAGAGTCGACGCTCCTCTCTTATCTTACTCCATGAGCACGACCCTATTTTGATGATTAGAAAAAGATAAAAAGGGAGAAACAAGCACAATTTTCCTTCAAAGAATGGAAAATTTATTCTTCTTGCTGTTCACCCTTTGAGAGGCTGTTTTACTGGCTTTGCTATCACTTTTTGAAGCCTCTCTATTGCATACTGTTATCTTGACAAAGCTATTACTATACACCAAGTTGCTTATGAAGGTCTGCAAGCTTTTCTTCAATTGAAGTATGGCTACTTTCGTATTTTCAGCAGTAACTTTTCTTGAATGACGTGCAGCTTAAGATGTTCATTCACATTACTCACGATCACAAGTTCGGGCGCACAAAAAGACATGACACAGCTATATTCAGTGTGCAAAATGGCCTTCCTTTGTTGTGCACTTTCATAACGAAAATGGCTTATCACAATTCACTCTGATAAATTTCGAACAGATATGACGTGCACAGGCCTTATGCAAAACAATGAAACTGACCACAACATGTGCTCAGGTGCCATTGTGTCATGGCAATAACAATGCATCAGAATCCTCTTATGGGAGTGATAGTGCCACATATCTGGTGTCCATTTTGTGTGATTATAATGTACAGATAACCTTTGTTTTCATTTTCACTTTCATTTAACTATTTCTCACCCCCCTTTTTCTTAAATTTTCCCCTCTAGCCAAGCTCTTGTGTCCTTCTGTTCTCCACTACACTCCTTTTGGGGAACTGAAGAATGTGAGGAGGGATACAAAAGGACGAATGCTTTTTGTTACTTTTTTTGCTGACGAAGCTGGCCCTTTTTTCACCTCGGCTATGGGTGAGGGAGATACCATCTTTACGTGCTGACCTATCTTTTCCACTTATCTCACTTTCGCTCTACATGTCACAATTAGCTTTCAATATGCTTTGAGCTTTGGTGCCGGAATTCCTCCCTCTCTTTTTTTTTTTCATTTTGCTTTCTCTGTTTTCCTGAATGCCCCGATTGGGCAGAATTCCCTGTTGTGCAAAATCTTCGTTGTTGTTGGTCGCTGCAAGAGTTTGTCTTAACAGAAGAGGTGTGTTACGCGATTCATCTCAAGCAGATTTTTTTTGCATTGAGTCTATCGAAAACAAACACTCCTATATTGTACGTCTTAAGTAAGAATTTGTCTTAACAGAGTTTGTCTTAAAGAGAGTTCACTGTATTTTAAAAACAACACCTTGTACTAGGAAAATAAGTGCATGAAGGAAATAAGCACACAAATATACATAAACTGGCCAAGTTTTATCAAAATTGATCACAAAATAAAGAAGATTTCTTCAAGTGTCGTGTCTGTTGTGAAGCCTGGTGGAAGCTGTTGAAGATAAAGCCGTGGTCTGCATGCTGACACAAAAGTCACTTGCTATATTGTGTTCAACGATCAATTGCCAGCCATTTTTTTTTTCTGCAAAAACTTTTTGTCATGTGTGTATGGTGGTGTTGGTGGTGGTGATAAGTAATAACGATTGGGTTAAAAGCATGTTCCAGCTTAAGACACGGAGTTCTTGAGCTGTTATCATATTGTAAATGTAGTTATGAATATCAAAAGTTGCGGCTTTTACACTGCTCTTATGCACATTAAGTTCAGAATTTATGGATTGAGATTAAACAATAAAACTCAAAGCGTATTTTTGTAACAGACACTTGCTTATTGTTTTCTTAATATTTTGATAATGTGACTCTCGGTTGATTCGGATGTCTTTTCCCATTCCATGCAGTCCAAATTAGTGAGGTTTTACTGTAGTAATAAATTTATTAGTCACACACAAACTGCAGGTCAGTGAGATAACCCCCATCTATTTTCACATCTAATCCTGCCCAGTCTGTAAGCTCAAGCGCTTTATGTGATTTCTGAATGCAGCTACCCAACGGGCGGGTTGCCAAGGATGCTGCACACCTTGCTGCTAGCTATGAATTGAGCGGCTATTCCGAGTGCCGGGCACTGCTCAACCCGGTCAAGAGTGTGCAGGAGAATGCAGACGAGTGCCGGCAGAGAGTGCCCCAGAGCCTCAAGCACTGCCTCATGGAGACCGGCATGGAGGAGCTGTTCCAGGAGGCCTGCTCCTGGGACGTCAGCCAGCGAACAAGTGCCTGCACCAGCATCAATGCCATGGCGGCCTTCTGCACTCACCACGGCTTTTGGGTGGAGAACCTGTACTGTGGTGAGCCCCTTTCAGCTTGCTGCCAAACATATTTCGAGTGGTTCTTCCTTGCACGAGATGCACATTAAAGGTTCCATCTCTTATATTTTTTGAGACACTTAAAGTAAACACACGCATTGTGTGCAGAATGCCATCAGGATCAACCATGCCACACGTGGCAGTACCAGAAACCGCGGGCACTCCAGAAATTTCAAAAAACAATCCCTTCTCCTCTCAAGGTCCTAGCAGAAAAATTGAATAATTGAACACATTGAATAAGCACTTTTTAAATTTTCCTTTTAAAACATGATTGAGCATAATATCTTACAGACCACGTGATAGTAAGTTCAATAGTGATATTAATGAAAAAATAGTGCTCATTTTACCATAGTTAGTGCGAACTTTAGATAACAAAATGTTATTAACAGCCACAAATCTGGCTCTACAGGCATTATTCAACAAGACAGCAGGAAATATGTTGGTAGTGAGGGTGCGGTGAAAAACTTAAAGAACAAGACAAACACATTATAAGTATACAGTTCGGAGACTGGTAGTATGCGAAACTGCAGAAAAATAGGATGTGATGGTGTCCTGACCTGAAGCAAAATTGATGAGTCGCATTGTTTGCTTTTGCAGTACCTTCGATGGCCATATGTGCACTGAATATGAATTACCCCACGATGTAATGCCATAACTGAGATGGCTCTGTATGAATTCATAATACAGTGCCTTCAGAGTGTTGGCGCCACATTCGTCACTTGACCAATGCACTTATATCATATGAAATCTTTCTACATACAGAATTGAATGGGCTGGTGAAATTTCATGTCTGTTTCAACTGTAACTCCCGAAAATTATGTAAGGTCACTTAAAGAAATGACTAACCACTTGACAAATAGATGGGGAATGAATGGTAATTTTTTTGTTTGTTGAATGAAAAAGCATAAAGTTTTGAAAGGATTAATCAATAATCTATTATCAGTGCACAACTCATCAAGTGAATTAAGTTCGGCTTGAAGTCTAGACATCATAGTCACAGAATCCAAGCAATAAGAAAAATTCGTGTCATCAGCGTCAAGTATACATGAAGAATAGCTAAGGCAATGCGGTAAGTCATTAATATACACTCAAACGTCATAATACAGTCACATCTGCTCCCTAAATAACTTTGTTATATCCCAAAATTCGTTATAAACATTTATCTGTAACACTGTATCTATGACAAGACTATCTTTGATTTACTTGGTTATAAGCAATAATTCGTTATACGTATCTGTGTTGATTATATTGAGGTCTGAGTGTATTTTAGAAATATAAGAGGCCCAAAATTGAATTTTGAGGAACACCTCAGTTTATGGGGTGGGACTAGGTGTAAACTTACTTACCGAGACCACCTGAAACCTATTAAAGTGAAAGCTCTGTAATAGCATTAGTGCAGGACCAGTCATCCTGTTAGTACTCTAGTTTACAAAAAAAAGGATGAAATGTTCAATACTATCGAATGCTTTAAATATGTCAACAAAGATAGATCCTTCGATGTTACTATTATCGATGAATGGCCTAATTTTGTCTGGAAAATATGCATAGCCAGCATCAGTGATCAGATCAGCCCTAAAGCCAAACTGACAAGCAGAAAGTATGTTAAGTTTACTTAAATATTTAGACAGCCTTATGTCAATCAGTTTTTCCAAAATTTTATCTAGGGAGGGAAGGACAGAGAAGAGCTTTTTTTTGTTTATTCAATACTGCCAGCCACCCTTTGGCAGCCAGGGCAGGAGTGGTACAGTGCACAAAGTTTACACGCAAAGTTTACAAACACAAAGTTTACACGCGACCAGTAACACGGTCCGCGGTACACAGGGAAGCAATAATGCAGTAAGTAAAAAAAAAAAAGAAAAAAAGCAGTGTACGTTGTGGCATGGTAGCAAGATAACACGTGAAATACGTTAGTTCAATAGGACAGGGGAACGAGACCAGCACTTCCAATCATACACAATTTTGAATAGCCGTTGAAAAAGCATTTTGATTAGTTAAGTTAGTAACGTCGCGTGGCAAAGTGTTCCATTCTGCTATCGTTCTCGGGAAAAAAGATAGACGGTGAGCGTTTGTTCTCGTGAAAGGCATTAGGATTATTTTGTTGTGCTTGTTCCGGGTGGGGCGTGACATGTTGAATTCGAGATAAGTGTTGAAGTCAAGCTTTGAATAACCATAGACTATACTGTGTAATGTTTTAAGTCGATGTAATTTACGGCGGGACTCTAGTGTTGGTAGGTCAGAACGCTTGCGCAGTTCTGTCACGGATACTCGCCTGCTGTATGCGTTGTGAATAAATCGCAGCGCTTTCTTTTGTACCCGTTCGAGCATCGCTGAATCCGTCTTTGTGTGTGGGTCCCAAACAACGTCTGCATATTCGAGCAAGGGGCGGACCAGCGTAGTGTACGCAACGGTCTTCGTTCTGCTTGTACAGTGCTGAAGTCGGTGTCTTAGAAGCCAAAGTCTGCGCAGTGCTGATGATGTAATATTTTGTATGTGTTTGTTCCAGGTGAGGTTTGATGTCATGGTTACACCCAAATATTTGTACTCGTTAACAACCTCTAATTCAACATTGTTAATTTGATAAGCATATTGAAATGGAAACTTTTTGTGCATTATTGTCATTTGGCGGCACTTTGTTGTGTTGAGGCTCATGTTCCAATCGGCACCAATTACTAACAGCTGTTAAGTATTTGTTGAGAACTTTCTGGTCATTTACCGATTCAATAGGGAGATAAACAACGCAGTCATCGGCAAAGAAACGGAAACGCACCAGACAGTCGAACTGTAAATCGTTTAAATAGATAATGAAAAGCAACGGACCTAAGACGGAGCCCTGTGGGACTCCAGAAACAACTGATGACAAGTGAGAGGCAGAGTCACCTATCTGAATGTACTGATACCGGCTTGATAAGTAGGAGTCCAACCACTGAGTTATTTTCTCATTTTTGACCAAGTTTCGAATTTTTAACATCACGTTGCTATGGGGTACTCGATCGAAAGCTTTTTCGAAATCCAAGAATATAGCGTCAATTTGCCCCCCCTTATCTAAAACTTTTGAGATGTCGTTAGTCGTGTGTATTAGTTGTGTAACCGTGGAAAATCCACGCCGAAAACCATGTTGATTGCTCGTAAAAAACATGTTGCTCTCAAGATACGTTACTAGGTGTTTAAATATAAAGTGCTCCAAAACTTTACCGGCTGTACACAAAAGGGATATGGGGCGGTAGTTTCTTACAGAAAGTTTATCGCCGGATTTATGCACAGGAGTAACTTTTGCAGTTTTCCAATCGTCTGGAACCACACCGCTTAGTAGACTTTCGCTAAATATAATGTAAAGGTATTTCGAGCACCACTCCGCATACCGGTAAAGGAATGCATTTGGTATTCTGTCGGGACCTACGGACTTTTTAGGGTCAAGGTTGAGCAAAGCCGAAAATATTCCCGGCTCAGTAATAGTTATATCGGGAATGTCAAAGCCAGGAATATTGAAATTAGTGCAGCACTGGGTTGCACGTACAAATACAGACGAGAAAAAAGCATTAAAAGCCCTTGCTTTAATGCATTAAGCATTAAAGCATTAAAAGCATCGGACACTTCCCTGTCGTTTATTGTAATTTTGCTGACTGGGTCTTTCTTTTGGGTGATGTGAGTCCAGAACTTCTTAGGGTTGGTGACAAGAAAACCGTGCATCTTAACATTAAAAAAGTGATACTTTGATTCTTTGATTTTTTTCCGTAGGTCAGCCCTTAGGGAAGGTAACACGTTAGGCGTTTTGGGCGCTCGGGAGAGACGCTTAACACGACGTTTTAAGTGAATTATGTCACGCGTAATCCACGGGCTTTGGCGGTTAATCTTTCTTTGTTTTTGTGGGACATATTTGTTAATACAAGTATGCACGGCCGTCTTGAAGTGCAACCATAATCCGTTTACGTCGAGATACCCGTTATTGTATTTGCTCTTAAAGGTGTCGAAATCTAGTTCGAGGAAGTCCAAAATACTTTCATCATCAGCACCGTTAAAATCTCTAAATGGCTTAATGATTGCCCGCGAAGTTGAGGGCAACATATGACTTTTAAACTGTACTATTTCGTGATCTGAAATCCCGGGCAGAACATTGACATCAAAACCGAGCCGTTGAACGGATTCAGAAAGAAAGACAAGGTCAAGTAGTGACCTTGAGTTTGTCGAAACACGAGTAGGGTCATGCACAATTTGGCCTAATTTACAAGAAAAAACAACATCAAGCAGCAGTTCGGAATGATCGCAGGTAGGAACGGCACGCATCGAATCCCAGTCAATTCGGGGCAGATTAAAATCACCGCAGAGCAACATCTGCGTGTAACGCTTGGCATACACGCCTACATGATCTGCAAATGCTTCAAGTACTGTAATGTTGGAATTTGGTGGTCTGTAAAATACACCGATAAAGATGTTGAGTTGTGGATGGTGAAGAACAATGCAAGCCATTTCAATGTTTTTGTGTTGGGGAAGGGGGGTATAGTCCAGGCCTTTTTTTATTATTAGTGCCACACCCCCACCTTTTGAAGCCCAATCACAGCGATAGATTTCGTGGGAGCTCGGTATCGCTACCGAGTCTGGAATTTCGTCACTTAGCCACGTTTCTGTTACAGCCGTGACGTCGGGATCGTATACGGTGAGAACGCTTTCCAGATCATCAGACTTGTTTAAAATACTTCGTGCATTTATATTCAAAACAGAAAAGGGTTTGGAATTCGTGAGCGAAGGCACATCAGAGTCACTCTTTCCTTTGCTATCAGCTCGGTCGTGGTTTGGTGGCAATCGTCACTGCGGAGCGAAAGGGACTCTCGCTCCAAGAGTGTTGTCCCACACAAAAAGCTTACCATCGACTTTGATCTTGTCGAACGACTGCGTCACTTTTAGTGACGCAGTCGTTGGCACTTACAAGTGACTGCGTCGCTTGTAAGTGCCAATGCTGTGTGGATCACCTTTTTTTAAATACTGGC